GCGACATTCCAGCTTGCAGCGCAAGGTTAAAGTTTTAGAATTAAAAAAGGATATAGATCTAATGGACCAGTCAATTACATTTCTTACAGCGGCAAGGAAATATTCATTGGGAGTCCCCAGCCCCTGTTGTCCCCTGTTTAGAACCACTCATGCTCAACAAACATGTAAGGAATATTCTGAATTGGAACTAGTGGACTACTTCTAAGCTAGTATCATAGTAAAGAACTAAACTACAGGAAAAATTTAAAGAAAAAAACCAAACGATCAATCTAAATAAATTTGAGAAGAGTGGTTAAATATCCAACCTGAATCAGGATAAGCTGGTTTACATCAAGAAAAACTGAGATTTTTCTACTCCTTGTGGAGGAACATTTATTTAAATATGAGTTTATACATTTTTTTAGGCTCTAGTGGTCTTTATTTTGTTATTTTTGAAAGTATGTAAACAGGAAAGTGGTTTACAAGAGAGGGGAGAGACATTCGGCAAAGGTCAGCAGGACCGGGACTCGAGCCTGTGGCTGTCATGATCATTGATTGCTCATTTCATTCACCTGCCTAACTCTTTCCTGGTACTGCTTATGTCATCCACCTGCTCCTGCTTCCATATATACGGCTAAGCCCCATCCATAGGAGCCAGATCACAATTTTAGATCATAGCTGATGCCATATTTTTTGGAGGCCGGAGGAAAGAGTGGGTTTTTTTAGCGTTCCATGGGGTTTCTGATTTCCTGATCATGTTCTACCTCTTATCCACTGAGCGTGCCCTGTTTCTGTCTTGGCTCCGTGCAGAGAGTGATTTGAGCATTTTGTAGTGTTTTGTAGTGTTTGTAGTGTTCTCTGGGCACGGACAGAACTGATAAACCAGGTAGGTGACTCACATGGATAATCATCTACCGTCAGATTATCATGGTCACTTACCTGTGTTTTTCTCCACCAGAGTATCCAATGATGGTCGGTGCCACGCTCTACTCAGGCCGCTGCAGATTCACAGATCCGCTTGTTTGTTTTTAAATTAAGGCTTTGATTTATCCCACTATCTGTTTGGGCTTGAATACTGGGTCTTTCTGTCCCGTTTTGACCGTTGGCAAATGGGTTATGCGCCCTACCTCCATACATTAGCAGCATCCCAGAGTAAAAATCTTAATCCTGTTTTTGGATTCTAACAAATTAGAAACATGTCTATATTATTCTTGCTTTTGGATTTCATCAACTTTTCATGTCCTTGGCGCTGATTATTCAGTTTTTTCCTTTACTCCTGGTCACCTGTCTAATTGGTCCAGGAGCTGATTAACTCCGATCATTTCCACCTGGTTCCTGTGCTACTTATGTTGCTTGCCTTCCATCAGCGCCAGGTTATTCAAGCAGTTTGGGGAGATTAACTCTAGCGATCTGAATCTTGTTCTGTTTTTCCTGATTGTGACCAGTTTCTGCCCAGTGGATTCTGACTTTTGCTTTGCCCCTGTCTGCTCTGTTAGTCTGATCTGTCCTGGACTGATTCCTGGATTCTACCTGGTTCTGAACTTGGACCTGTCTTCTGATTCCGGCTTTGGATTTCCCCTTAAGGGCATTGTTGCTGCTTGGCGTCGGCTGGCACCTGCTCTGCTCTCTTTCTATTGGAACTCTGGGGGGGGGCAGCGCCCGCCGCAAGCTAGGGAGTAGCCTCCCGTTTAGATTCAACTCTTTCCTGCGGGATCAGACTGAACTTTGAATCAGGTCCGTGACTTTTGCTCCTTGTCGTGATCAGCCCGACAATCCAGTCACTGACCTGTATCTCCTATCTCTGCAGAGATTCACCCTGTAGCTGACGAGCAGCCCCGCGTTCCTGTTTGTTTAAATAAACGCTTTGAACTTTCCCACTGCCTGTCTTGCCTTGAATTCTGGGTCCAACATTCTGAGTTCATTGCACAACTGTGTCAATCTATCAAGAAAACCCCAAATTAATGGGATGTAAACCTTTGATAAGGAAGAGATCCAGCAAGCTTTTTTTTTTGGTAGTGAATTTTGTTTAATTATTGTTGCAAGCTTTATGCCCCCATCTTTCAGAATGCAGCATTTAAGCCAGGGAATATGGATGTAGTTTTCAAGCACTGGTTAGATAGAGGCATAGCTGTTGTCAAGGATTTATACATCGATAACAGCTTTGCTTCCTTCACGCAACTCCAATCCAAATTTGGTCTTCCTTCTAGCCACTTTTTCAGGTACCTGCAAGTTCGCAATTTTGTCAGACAAAATTTCCCTCACTTTGAAACCATATCAGTGCAACATAGCTTCTTCGGGTTAGGGTACCTAACCCTTATAAAAAAGCCCCCTACTTCTAGAAAGCTAATCTCTCACTTTGTTAATCTTTTCAGTTCATCTCCTTCTACTACGGTAATCATATAAAAGAGGCCTGGGCTTCTGATACACTAGTCGAAATTTCAGATGAGACGTGGAATTTGAGTCTGTCAAGGATCAAAACCTGTTCCATTAATTCCAGATTGCAACTTATTCAATTCAAGGTTATCCATCGTTTGCACTTTTCTAAAACCAAACTTAATAAGCTGTTTCCTAGTGTCTCTCCTATATGTGACAAATGTAAATCAGCCAAGGGGTCTTTGGGTCATATGTTTTGCTCTTGCCCTAAGCTTATGGACTTTTGATACAGAATATTTAAATTTTATAGTAACGCTTATGGCAAAGTTCTATATCCGGAAAACCATTTGATAATTCTGGGTTGCTCTAAATTCTCTGTTACTCTTCCCATGTCTCTGCAGCAGGCTCTAATGTTTGGTTTGAGGGTTACAAAATGGGTTATTCTGAGGGAATGGGAATCCTCTACACCTCCATGCTTTAAAAAATGGCTCAATGATATGGTGTCCTGTATCTATCTCGAAGAAATTCGATACTCTTTGTCAGACAATCATGATAAGTTCCTAAATGTGTGGGGTCCTTTTAATAGACATATTCAAAATAATGGGTTAAAATGACTCTTTTCTAGACCTTTTTTCTTTTTTTTATTTTTTTTTTTTATTATTTATTATTATCTCAATACTGTCATCCTTTACTGCACTCTTCTTTTTATTGATATCCCATGTTTTATGTTGATCCGCTTAACACAATGTCTGCAGAATTATTTGTTGTCCTCTCTGACTCTGCCTCGTGCTTTAATATGCTCTATTAATATAATAATATAATTATTCTCTTATCAGTTCTTCAGTTTGCTGACACTGTTTTGTCTTGTTTTTTGTTTTTGTTGTACTTGTTTACTGTTTTGCTGTATTTTTTTTTCTCTTTTTTGTCTTGTCTGTTTAACTCTGAAAATGCATAAATAAAAAACAAATAAATTTAAAAAAGTCTTTCCAAATCAGAATCTGGGAAATCTGTATTATAAACTTAAGCAAGAAGAAAATAAAAACTAAATTTTAAGTCACAAAAAAAAATAAAAACTTATTGTTGTAAGCTAAGAACAGCTTTTTTATGGAAATTTGAAAACAAACTAAAAAAGATGCAAACAAGAAATCAAACTTTAAAAAATATTTTAATCAAAGGTTTTGAGATCACCTTTGCTGTTTTCTTAGATTTGTTTTTATTCACTTTTCATATGTAATATTTTTTAAATGATTTTTGGCCTAAATTTTACTTTTTACAGAATTGAAAGTTTTTCTGATTGATTTTTACAACTTGCATTCTCTTTAGATTGAGTTTTCCAGATCAAATTTCTTTTTTTTATTTCTTGGTCTGCTGGACATTTTTATTGGTCAATGTGTGAGGCAAGAGTGAGTCTTGTGAAAAGAATGTGATCTGTGAAACTCAATTTGAAAAGAATGCAATTCCTATAACGTAATCTGATAAATAGAAATGTGTTCTTTTTTTTTTGAAAAAGTAGCATTTAAAATGAAATTATATTAAAAATGAAATAACAAAATCTGAGAAAACAGCAAAGTTACTCTCAAACACCTATTTTTTCACATTTCTATTTACAGAATGTGTTGTTTGCTTGTAACAATATTGGCACAAACTTCGCTCCATATGCTTCCAGCTCCATCTAATGACCTTCTAGTTTCTTGAGTCTGAAAACCAGCAGATTGCTTCAAAGAATGTGGGAACTAAGCCAGCCCATCTTTTAAAGGCGAGCATGGCGCTGATGCTCAGCCATCCCACATGTCTTCCATGAAACTCTGCATCCTCATCAGAATTTCTAACGTTCCTTTGCTGGACAGCATCTTTCTCCACGTCTCAGCGCTTGGCACACAGTCGAAGAAACTTTTTTTGATGATCAGGATTTCTTTAAAGCACAGTTTCCTTTTGTAAAATGTTCCCTCCGAGTATTAAAATCTTCAAGTGTTTGTACTTTAGCTCAGTTAATAATGATCCCCATTAGTTGCAGCTTAAACACAACCATCCTCTGTTGGCCTTCTCTACCTGCTGCTTGTTATTACTGGAGGTTGGCCCTGTTAGGGCATTAAAACAGGGCAGAGTGTAATAAATTTTAAATGCTCTATTTCAGCAGAACCTCTTTTTGCCTCAAGTGTTCACAGGCAACAACATGACTGGATGCACACTCCCTACAAAAACTATAAATTTGGAGACTTGCTCAACATTATTCTGGTGTAAATGTTTTAGATTCTGTGTTTTGTGTTTTAATGAGTTTGATTTTTGCACGCTAATGCTGCTTATTACATTATTGATCTAATGTCAATGACACCTGGTAATAAATATAGTATAGTAGTACTATATTTCCTATATCTTTAGCTGAAAATGTACATTTAGATCCATCACTTTGAAAAACTTCAGTCCCAGTTAGCAAAAGTTCTTTAACCCTGAAGCTTAATGAGAACAACAAACATTACTTTGTATATTTGTTTTTCCTAAATTAAGTCTATAAGATGCATGGACTTAATTTAGAAATATATATATATTTATAAAATAAGAGATTATCTAAATAAAGGAAGAATACGAGAAAAAAACAAAACATCTTTAAAGTAGAAACTACATGTGGGAGCTTTTAAAAAGGGACTCACCTGGGAATTCCTCCTTCAGAAGAAAAACAAGCAGTTCAAGTCAGAAATCAAACTCCTGCAATCAACAAACTCCTTGAGTTCTTCTTAGAGGATTTAAAGTTTGAGGAGAAAAGCAGGAGTTAACAAGTATCCGGTTGATGTCCTCTTCTGAGCTACTGTGAGGAGAGAGCGTGAGGGGATGGAGCGGATCAGGCTCGACCCTCTGCTGGTCCCCAAGGCATCTGGATTTCAGATTAGCTGCTTTTCCTTTTCCTTCGCCGTTGAAGCGCGCAGCCAGGAATGCCTCTCCATCCTCGCCTCCCTTCTAAGAGTCTCCTTTCACCTCACAGGCCGTCCTGGTGGAAACATAATCACTCTCTTTTCTTTTTATTGTCCCTCTTTTCTTTCTGTGTCACTTCCTTTCTTCTCCTCCCATTCTTTCACCTTTCAAGCCCTCCCACACACTTCCCCCTCCAGAGGTTACTATACACTATGTGAATACAGATCAGTCAGTTATCATAATTCATGTATAGTTTTAAAGCCGGAGCCTGCGGCTACAAGCGCATTCGCGTTCTCTGCATCCTTTGGAAGACTGTCAGAATAATTCATTTGATCTGTCTGGGTAAAAGTTGCTGTGAATGAAGCAGGAGGGGTAGGCTTTAACTGTACCAATGCACCTTAAGCCCCCTTTGTTGGAACAATGCAGAGTCATCAATGCAGATGGGAAGGGAATGTAAAATCCTTTTTTTTTTTAGCATTACGGCTGACAAACACACATTGTCCTGCATGACTTTAATAGATTAGGTTTCCTTGTTGTAGTTGGAAAACTTTAGGAATTGATCTGTTCCTCCAGCAGCCAGTCAAACTTTTAAAGAAGCCCAAGTGAATAGATCTTTTGTTACAGGAGCATTTTGTTAGCCTGCCCCACCTCACTGTTTAATTATGTTTCATTGACTTCATCTCACAGAAGGAGAGGAGGCCGTTAATGTTTGATTTTACAAGCTCCAGCGTGTAACAGAGGCGGCTGTGGCAGACCAACTGTGCATATTTTGAATTCTTTTTTTTTTCTTGTTTCCAAAAGACTTAGAAACCTACAGTTCCAGGTGAAACATCTTCCACTGTTTAACTTCTAGAATTAAACATCCCATCGAATTCACTTGATTAGACTCGATTCGATTAACCTGAGTCAGATTACTTTAGATTTGACTAGAAAAAATGGTCAAAAACTTTTCTATTGACTTTGACTTTTTAATGAATGACTCTGGATTTGAATTGGATTTAAACCTGTTTACTTTAAAATACTTAATTTTACCCAAAAATCTAAAGTTTATAACATATTATTTAAAACATACTCATCTCATATGTTAGTTGAATTACAGCCATTCAAATAAACCAGTTTAAAAAAGAAGCTCCATAAGGCATTTTTTTTTTTCAGGTACATGAACTTCAACATGCTAATATAATTCTACAGGTTATTAAAAGTTTGGATTGAGACACAGAGTGAGTTTTTCAGAGAGTTTGTACATGAACGTTGATTAATGCTGCCATGCAGACTGCAGGCAAGCTTGAGATGGGGGATGACTCTCGAATCTGTTGGCAACAGGCAGTAAAGTTGAGTAATGGGCTTGAGGAGGCAGGGGAAGGCAGGACACGCGGTCAACAGGCTGAAGTGGCTGATTTTCTGACCTGAGAAGGAAGAAGATGACTGAAGAAAGTCAAGGCAGGCCTTAAGCAGACTGGGAGCAGGCTGAGCAAACTGGCGAAAGGTAGAAACATTCCAGATTGTGACCTGAGTCAGAAGCTGAAGAGAATTCAGGGAGGGCAGGCCGAGCATAGGAATACAGGAAAGCAGGTGGTGCGCACTGACTGGCTAAGAAGATGTGACATTCTGGCAGGAAATAACTGAGAGGCAGGTATATATAGGGTAAAAGCTGGGAGTGATGAGGAAAACTAGAAGAGTGGCAAAAAGAGTGACAGGCAAACAACAACCCAGCCCAACAAACAAAAACCAACAGACCGGATTCTCGATGACTAGGGGTGTGAGAAAACAGAACGGAGACACTTAAGGAATACTTAAGCCCTGATTCAGGAGAACTTCCCAAGTGAGAGAAAACTAAAACCTGGATGACAGTAGTGGCTACTTAACGGGCTTCAACTTAAAGAGGAACACAGAATAATAGATAAGCTGTAGTTTCAACTGGTTTCAAGGCTGTGTGGTTCAAAGGAGAGCATATATAATGATTTGCTCACCGCCTGGAAAGTGTTGGAGCTACACAGAATCCCAGGCTAGACGTATTTACAATGAAGGAACAACAAACAGAAAAAGAAAACATTAAGTTATAAGCTGAAATAACTGCAAATAAAGCTGCCCTGGAGAATTAGCAGAGAGTGGAAAGAGGCCACTTTGTCGTCCAGCAGTCTAAGCCTATAGCAGCATACCTATAGAGATATCTTAGGATAACCTGAGACACTCTAACTATTAGATTTATCCAAAAAGAAAGTTTTGAGCTTAAGTAGACAGGATGTACGCTTTATGGACTAAAACCAGAGTTGGTTTCAACATATTGAATAATCAGATGTCTGATATATGATGGTTGTTAAGGGTTTTATACATGGGAAAGGGAGATATTAAATATTAAAGATTTAACATGAAGTCAATAAACGGAAGCTAAAAATGTAGAAATATGATCTCTGTAGTTTTCATCTGAAAACTTTTACTGCGCTGTACTTCATGTGAAAGGCCAGAGCCACCACGCTTTTTATACAGCCAAAAGTCTCAAAGCAGCTGATATTTTCTCCAGGCAGCAGCCTACATGCCAAACCCCTCAGTGTCTGAGTAACTACAGATGAGCATTTGCACATATAAAGAACGTTGCATGTTACTGTATGGAGGTGTAGAAACAGATACTTTTACCACTGCTGGTTTATCACAGCAGAGAAACATTTACACCCAAAAATGGGACTGAAGTAATTCTTTTCTAATCCCATCATAATCCCATTGCTTTGACCATCTGATAAACCATATGTACTCTGCTCTATTCCAATTTAGCAGGGCTTTATTCTTGAATCACTGATCGTTGGATAATTCTTCGTCATCTCTGATATTCAGTCCATGAAAAGGGAAGATTTCTTTTATTCAGGTCTCTTGTTTTTCTTTCCATAAGAACCAATTAAAAATTCTAATTTTTTACTCTTTTTTATATGTTCCACCAGTTTTAAACTCTTCTGTCTGGAAGGGTCTATTTAAATCTGATTTTTGAAATAATGAACTGTTGCCAGCATGTGCAATATTTCCTTTTTCACACCATGCATGACCTCCCAGGCTGACCTTCACACCTCCTTTATTATGAAGCCCTTTCTACAGATGCAAACAATCAGCATGAATGCCATAAAGTTTGGGTCTGTTTAGTTTCCTTTTTTCTACTACACTCTAAAAGACGTCTTCTTTAACCTTCACTAGTTGTACATTTGAAAATGTTTTAATAGTTGCACAGTATTTATGTTGACAAATTTTGCCCTTACTGTATTTTATTCTTTATTCTGTTTTTATGCAATTTAAAATTCTATTTTAGTGGGAATCCTCTTGCTTTAAACTCGTATCACTTTTTTACTTTTCCCCAAAAATGTTTCTGTTTTTTTATTCTATTCTATTTATGTTTTAGTTAGATTCTGTTCTGTTCTATTCTATTCTATGCAACCTTCTTGTCCATATTATTTTACAGGCAGTGATTTTTAAAAATGCTTTCTATCAAAAACCCCTGTGCAGGTGGAGGCAGATGCTTTATGAACTCTTGGTTGCAGACTCAAAAAAGAAAATCACACAACTACAGAGAATATAGTGGGCTGCTTAGTGGCACAGTCTTGGTCGTGGGTTTGATTCCCGGCCCAGGGTCTTTCTGCATGGAGTGTGCATGTTCTCCCTGAGCATGTGTGAGTTCTCTCTGGGTACCCCGGCTTCTTCCCACAGTCCAAAACCATGACTGTTAGGTTAATTGGCTTCTCTAAGTTCTCCTTAGGTGTGAGTGTGTGTGTGAATGGTTTTCTCTGTGTTGCCCTGCAATGGACTGGCGACCTGGCCAGGGTGTACCCCGCCTTCTGCCCATTGACAGCTGGAGATAGGCACCAGCACCCCTCGCGACCCCACTTGGGATTAAGTGTGTCAGAAAATTTATGGAGAATATTTATTTTTCTTTAGGTTTTCACACAGGCTTTATGTTTATTTGACTCATCTGGGGGTCCAGCTATGTTGTTCTGTCTTATCCTTTTTCTTTGTTCCTGGACCTCCGATCTCACATACTCAAAGGTAAACGTAGCTCAAACTTTCACCTTGTGTTTAATCCCTCCTTCTATAATCTACCAAATCTGGCCCTAAAGCCCACAGTTGAAGCCTGTGGGTTGAGAAAGAGATTCTGTGGTCTCACTTTGAAAAGACATCCTGGTTTCTTCTGTAGTTTTAGTAAATCTGGAGGTTTAGCTCCACATAGCTGCTGGATCAGATGTCTGTTGATTGTGGCTCAGCTAATCTAGATTTAACCTCGTAGCTCTTGAATTAGCTTCCCTCTCATTCACATAAGCTGTAGTAAAGATGGCACAAAAACTGTGTGCTAGCAGTTCCACATGGCCTTTAAGCCGTGAGGCTGTTGCTTGTTTAGCCAGCTAAAATTCTGCCAATACTTTTACAAAGATCTTTAAACATGATATGCTTTTTTTAGTGATAAGTTCTTTAAAAAAACATATTAGTTTAAAGTGTAACTCCCAAAATCAAATTTTCTCAATTTAAATGGTATAAACTGTGCTTTTGGGAAGCTAAGATATTGTTACTGTGAAGTTGTTGACATTTTCATGTGGAATTTTGTTTTGCTTCTGAAATATTCATTAGTGCCAAAGGTGTCAAAAGTATTTGCATTCTTTTCTGAAGTAAAAGTACAAATATCTGTTTAAAAAATAGACTCTGGTAAAACTACTGATTGAACTCCTTTAAAAGTATGTCTACATTGTGCATAAGTGAAAAAGTTAAATAAAGTTGTTTTCCTAAAAAATCCAAAATAATCTAAAAACTATATTCTAGTAAAAACTGTTTTATGAAGAGAAAAAAGGTTTTTTCAATGTGTTTGTAGAAAGGCCATAAAAGCTATAAATTAAAATTTCAGACAGAATAGAATATATTGAACAAAAGAGAAGGGCTTCATTAGCAGCTAAATGCTTTTAGAGCTTTGATGATCACAGCATTAAAGCTGCAGATGAAATAGAAACTGAATTTGAATCTAAAAGACGGGAAATGTTTACGTCCCAGAATCTCCAGCCTCTTGTCTTGGACAGATTCTCTTCCTTATTTTCTCTGTTTTCCTGCAGCTGTTATGTCGTGGTTTATCAACATGAAAGTAATAAGTAGAAAG